GTCAGCTGCCGGGCTCCAGATTGTCCTGCGGTCACTGCTTTGCTTACCCCTCTACTCAGTGGCCCCAGATTACTGTGCATTCTGAGATTTTTGCCTGTCTTATCAATGTTCTCTTTGCTCAGGGTTATCTATCAAGGTGTTTGCCCTCAGCAACCATCTCCTTTCTGGCTGGTGGCATTCTTACACATCAAACACCTTACGCTAGCAGTACACTTGGAAGCATCTGTAAGTGCATGGTGAGAGCCTTGTATGGGCTTTTCGTGGGCAAAGTACATGTTTTTTGAGGTCTGGGTTTGAACTTGGCCGTTACTTGTCCATCTGCTGCCCTGAGCACAGAGAGGATGAGGTTCTGTTTTATTATGTCTGGATTTTAGTAGTTCAGGAGGCATATGGAGAAATGCAATGATGCCATTGGTACTGCAAACACATTTTACCAGGGTCCCATTTGTAAAAATTTTATTTTTCTTTGTGGAAAAATAGCTATAGGAGTGAAGGAAGATGTTGGTCATTAGATCATTAAGTTAAATTCCAATCAATTGAAATCATGAAAACATACATTAAAATTTGAAGGAGTACTCAGTTTTAAAATACACATCCCATCCTAAAATCACTCTTTTTTTGTTGAGATGTAACACTTCTCTATAGATCTTGCCAAAGGGACCACAAAGTATTATGGCCATAAACTCATGACCCCCAGAGAGAGCCCATGCATAAATGTAGCAAGCTGATGATAAAGAAAGGAAAAATCCCTTTTTCTCTTTCTACCCTTTGCTTTTATTCCACCTCTATACCTGGAGAAAGCAGAGAGCTGGAGGCACTTAGTGTATCCATTACGTCTCGGGGTTGATTCCAGCTACATGTCACTGCTCTTTCACTTCCTTCCTTCCATCTTCCTTTCCCTCTCTATCTGATGGAGAGGAGATCTTTAACCTTCTTTTCCTGCAAGTTCTGCATCTGTTAAGATAACCCAGCACCATAAGGCCTCACGGTGAGCTTACTTGAGATTATGTTGACCCCATGCTTCTGGGCATTGTCCTCTCTGCACAGTTGAATCCGTGACATAGATTTCACCTGATAAGTATCACACTAGATTTGTTTCCTTGTTTGCTTTTGGTCTTATCTAGCACAGAGATCGCCAGTCTTGCTTGAATTTTATCTCCTGGACAGATAGATCTTCCTTGTCCTCACCCAGGCAAAGACAGGAGAAAGAAAAGTCGACTCCCAGTCGTTCATTTCTCAGCAGTCCTCCATGTGGCTTTTGAGCTGTTTATGTGAAATGTTGGTGGGAACTTTAGCTGCTGTTCAGTCTTGGGGTGCAGATGAGGACAGAGGATAATGTTATGTGAAGGACCTTGTGTGAAAGAACTTTGTTGCTGGGGTGCATCTCTCAGGTCAGCTGTCCTGCTGTGGAGATGCCTACCCAGTGGGCACTGCCCAGAGGGTGGGACAGAGGAATCAGAGGACTCAGGGTGGCATGGAAACCATGGGATGCTTCCTTAGCCACGATGCTGTAGGTGGGGCAGGTTGAGGGTGTCTGGCCTGAGGGACCTTGGAGTCCTTACCTGCTGGAGGAGTCAGAAAGGCTGGTGACTTTGGCTTGAACTCACCTTTGGCTCTTGTAGTTATTTTTTTAATTATTTTATTTCCAACTGTGATAAAATATGTAGAAGATTAAAGTTAGAACCCTTTAAAAAAGATTTATTTATTTTTTATGTATACAAGAACTATGGTACAGGCCAGAGGTATGGGGGATGAGAGGATTCACCAGAATCAGAGTGAGGAGCAGAACAGGCAGATGTACTGAAATACACCATTGAGGGGGGCAGTGGGCAGGTCAGGAGAGGTCTGCTGCGCCATGTGGGTCAGCTCCCTGCCTGGGATCGTACTCATGCTGCAGTGACTGCAGATAGCTTCATAGTGCTGCGCTTTAGCCTGTTGCTCCATCAGGGAGGGAGGGTGCAAAGTTAGAGCCCTTTCTAAGTGTACAGTTCAGAAGTGTTAAAAAAAAAACCTACTCTCATTGTTGTGTGACTATCCCTAGAACCTGTCTCCAGAACTTTCTCTTCTTCCCCAAAGAAAAGTTTTATTCATTAAATAATTCCCCATGTCCCACCTGTCTCCAGCCACTAGCAGCTACCATTCTACATTCTGTCTCTATGATTTTGACTCCATGCTGGTAGTTCACCTGTAGTGACTGTCTTAGGTCACTTGGCACAGTGACCTTGAGGACCACCTGTGTGGTTGCATAAGTCAGAATTTCTTTCCTTTCTAAGATGGAACAATACTCCGTGGTACTTATAGCCCTTGAGTTTTTGACCACAGTCTCCCAGTGTCTGCGGGCTCCTCTGGTCCTCCGTTCCCCATCTGTCTTGTTTTGAGGGGAGTGAACCAGGCATTGTGCAGACTCTTCTCTCCTCTGCAGTTTCACTTTTGTGACTTACTTTTCATCCCTTCTGTATCTGGGTTTTGAGCGTGTCATCAGTGGCTTCCGTGGGGCGTGCTGTTGCTGGTGCTACTTAGCAGGTGTAGGCTGTGGATCCAGGGAAGAGGCGCTTTCTTGCCCAAGTGGCACTTCTGCAGCTGGCCATCTTCACCACCAAGTCACAGACCATTTATCTCCCCCTCAGATGCTTCTGTTGGAGCAAGAAGGCAGGAGTCAGCCTAAGTGGTATCCCCCAAAGTCCATTGCTCCAGTCAAGCTCCTCCCTGACCTTCAGGACCTGGAAGGCTCTGTGTTCCCTAATCCCTTGAAGCCCCTCCTCAAATGTGCCAGGGGCATGCATGTCTGATGCGTCTCTCCTCTTCTGAACATTCACTTAAAGTTCTGTTTCTGATGTAAAAGAGATACACCTTCATTACAGAAAAGCAAGAAAAATTCTAAACTGTATCTTCAGTCTTCCTGCTGTCAAGAATATTAGCCGTGCTTCCTATTTTGGTCTCTTTGCACCTGAGTTCCTCTTTGGGAGGGGGACTTGGAGGGGAGAGAGTCTCCCTGTGGGGTGGGACCTGCCCGGCCTTGCCAGGCCAGCACCCCTCTACTCCCTGGGAGTGTGTCTGTGTGAGTCGCTACGAGAAACACAGCAATCGGGACTGTTTGACGCAATGCAACATTTTATTTCCTGCTGTTACCAGGCTGCAGCAGCCCTGGCTACGAGGTTGTGGGACAGGTGCTCAGAATTCCCTTAGGATAGTAGTGCTTGTGACTTATCACACGCACATCTTGGTGTGCGTGGCTGTACTGACTTGGAGTCAGAGCTAAGGCAGAAAGTGACAGCTGATTTTTAAGGCTGCCAGAAGGTTCTGGTCCTGCCCCTGTAAGCTGTGCAAACGGTTCTGGTCCTGCCCCTGTAAGCTGTGCAAACGCGGGCTGTAGGTCCTGCAGCCTTGGTTTCCTCACCTGGAGAGTGAGGCTGTAACTAGGGTGTTGTGCTTGCCTCTGGGTGGACTCCGGAAGGAAGAGAAAAATGCTCAGATGTGCTTGAGGGGAGGGGAGGGTTCAGATTCTTGAATGGGAAACCCTGACTCTGGGGCAATGTGTCTTCCCTCTGGATGGAGGACACAGTGTTTGAGGTACAGTTCTCTGCCTGGTGTGAGAGCCAACTCTGCCACTTACTATTTAGCTTCTGTCTTCTCTTCTGCAAAATGAGATAGCATTAGACTGACTTCCTGGAATTGTTCCAGAGGGGAGAGAGGGAGAGGGGGCAGAGATGTGTGAAAATATGGTGTGCTCAGTACCGTGCAGGGCATATGTGAGTGTTTGCTCCAGTTAACGCAGCACCTGTGTTAGAAAGGGCAGCGTGGGGCCCAGGGGCAGGGGCTCGTGATAGTGCTTGAGCATGTGAATGCAGCCTGGGCGGCACCTGCTGCGGGGAGGAGTGCTTTCGGGGCACATAGGTGGCCCTCAAGGACACGGGAGGTGCCAGCTCTGCTGAGCACTGCTCAGTTCTCTTCTCAGAACCTGATAGTCATCAGGACCTCAGAATTCACAGAATTCACGTAGTTCCTGTATGTGGTGTGTGTGTGTGTCTGCATGTGTGTGTGTGTGCATGTGTGTGTGTGCGGGCATGCGCGCACACCCCACCCACCCAAAACCTTTCTTTCCATTTGTTCCCATCTTGAAAGTGAAACCTGATTCCACTCGGTGCTCAGGTGCAGCCTAAGCATGTTCGGTGAACCCTTCCTTTCCATCACCCTCACTTGTCTGTGAGCAACTAATGGAGGCTCTATCCTTCATTGAAACCCTGGAATCTGGCTGCCTCCTCATTTCCCCTCCAGCTACCTGGGGCCTGGCCACTGCCCATTGTCTCCTTCCTGCCCCTCTCCCCACGTCCTGCCCTGCCCGCTGAAGCAGATAAGTTATCCACATTCTCTACTCAACCCTGCAGCCAAATTCAGTTTAAGAAGCATAACTTCATCTCTAAAGACAGGGAATAAAAAGAACTTGCACCTGAAAAAAAAACTATGACATCCTTGAAACGAGGGCAGGGCGAGCTCATGTTGAAACTGTGAGCTGTCTCCACTTGCAGCTTGTACAGCATGTATAGATGTGGTTGAGTTTCCTTCATTTCTGAAAATTTAAACTATCCTTGTACTATGCCTGAGAGTTCTTAGGGGTGCTTTGGCACATAGTTTGGAGAGTGTGGGATTGCCTCACTGGATCCTCAGAATGACCCTATGAGCTTGGTACTGTTCCAGTTTATAAGGGGAGAAGCCAAGGCTCAGAGAAGCCCAGCTCCTGGCCTAGGGCCACACAGCTGGGGCGGGAGGGAGCCAGGAATGACCGAGTCTCCGAGGCTCTGATAATCCCTTGAGCAGCCAAGTGGGTTTCTTGATTGTGCATCTTTAGGGCCCTGGCCTCTTATTAACCTCTCCCCTTTTCTATCCAGACAGAAACAGAATGACTCTGTCCCTCTGCTGGGCCTCAGTTCCATGCTCTCATCCCAGGTCCTGAGAGACAGAATGTGGACAGTGATAGCAGCTTGTTTTTTTCCTCCTTCCAG